AACTAGAGCAATAAATATCAAATTCATTAACCAGAAATAATGAAAATTTATTATTTTAATAGTGCTTAATTGAACTTTTTTTGCGAACATTTCGCTACACAACGTGCCCATAATTGCTTTAAGATGGCATTGTCTGGGACAAATTTGCTTGCTACTCATGCACAAACGTCGAAATGCGAGTGAAAAGGCGCGCAGGATTAACGGAGTTTGGAGCAGTGATACGGTTGGAGACAAGAAAAATCAGCGCAAAATTCGAGAATTCCTACACTACGCTTATTTCCTGATAAAATCGTTTATTTTCAGTGGATCGATTCGACTGCGCTATAATTATTAAATAATAAAAACTCGAGTAGGCAAAAACTATCATCTCCTAGTTTCCAGCCATCTAAAATATCTCATAAACTTCATTTTCACATGCATACACTTGGAATTCTTCTCATATTAATCAAATATTTTCTTGCTCAACTTCTATCTGTAAGTCAGTCCATTCGTATCGGATGGATGTTCAATGTAAGCTGCAACATCGCTATATGATGTAACTTTCGTACAAAAAAAAGCGTTATGTTATCATCTTGTTCGACCGACATCTGCATGCATGACGTACTACGAATAGAAACAATTCTAAAAACTGTTGCTCTTCCTTTTGTCTCGGGTTTTTTTTACTGATGGTGCATCTATATGAGATGAGAAACCCATCATTATGTACTGCCTGATGGTGCATGTGTCAGGCAGAGATTGGTCAACAACTCACGCTTTATCTTTCATCCGTTTACGACTCCTATAGAAGCTACCCAGTATCATGTATATTATACGATGAGAAACCCATCATTATGTACTGCCTGAAGGTGCATGTGTCAGGCAGAGATTGGTCAACAACTCACGCTTTATCTTTCATCCGTTTACGACTCCTATAGAAGCTACCCAGTATCATGTATATCATACGATGAGAAACCCATCATTATGTACTGCCTGATGGTGCATGTGTCAGGCAGAGATTGGTCAACAGCTCACGCTTTATCTTTCATCCGTTTACGACTCCTATAGAAGCTACCCAGTATCATGTATATCATACGATGAGAAACCCATCATTATGTACTGCCTGATGGTGCATGTGTCAGGCAGAGATTGGTCAACAACTCACGCTTTATCTTTCATCCGTTTACGACTCCTATAGAAGCTACCCAGTATCATGTATATTATACGATGAGAAACCCATCATTATGTACTGCCTGATGGTGCATGTGTCAGGCAGAGATTGGTCAACAACTCACGCTTTATCTTTCATCCGTTTACGACTCCTATAGAAGCTACCCAGTATCATGTATATCATACGATGAGAAACCCATCATTATGTACTGCCTGAAGGTGCATGTGTCAGGCAGAGATTGGTCAACAACTCACGCTTTATCTTTCATCCGTTTACGACTCCTATAGAAGCTACCCAGTATCATGTATATTATACGATGAGAAACCCATCATTATGTACTGCCTGATGGTGCATGTGTCAGGCAGAGATTGGTCAACAACTCACGCTTTATCTTTCATCCGTTTACGACTCCTATAGAAGCTACCCAGTATCATGTATATTATACGATGAGAAACCCATCATTATGTACTGCCTGATGGTGCATGTGTCAGGCAGAGATTGGTCAACAGCTCACGCTTTATCTTTCATCCGTTTACGACTCCTATAGAAGCTACCCAGTATCATGTATATTATACGATGAGAAACCCATCATTATGTACTGCCTGATGGTGCATGTGTCAGGCAGAGATTGGTCAACAACTCACGCTTTATCTTTCATCCGTTTACGACTCCTATAGAAGCTACCCAGTATCATGTATATTATACGATGAGAAACCCATCATTATGTACTGCCTGATGGTGCATGTGTCAGGCAGAGATTGGTCAACAGCTCACGCTTTATCTTTCATCCGTTTACGACTCCTATAGAAGCTACCCAGTATCATGTATATTATCCCTAATTCATAATGTTTCAAGGTAGTGATTTATTTAATTGTAGCACTCACAAGTCGGTGGATTTTACCAAAGACAACCCACTGGAATGAGGACAAGAGATCCAAAAATATCACAAGCTTGCAAAAATTCACTATATAGTACAGCAGCTGTACATGTTATTTCGTTTCCCGTTCACGTTGGAATGAAGTGGAGAAAACCAGCGCTTATATTGAGATGATGTTGTTGGTCAGCGATTGAAGAGCTTGAAGCGAGAAGGAGAATGAGTTATTACCTTTATACTGAAGTTTGGCAATTTTCCGTGTTAGTATAATGGGGTCATTTCGGTTATCCGCCAGATAACGTAGAAACGACTCTTCTGGCTGGGCAAGGACTTTTCTTTGCACTTCAATGCTTTCGAAAGCTTAAACCGGAGAGTACTGTGCGCATTCGCTTTTCGAAAAGGCTTTTTATACCGCTGTAGATTAAAGATGAAAACTATGTTTTTACGTGCCCCCCCCCCCCCCCCCCCCCTTCTACCCCCTTTTTCTTTTCAATTATTGTCACGCTTATTTTCGATGGAAGCACGAAAAATTTGTGAATGTGTTAAAGAAATCTTGCAAGATCAAAGCCATATGTTTTATCAGTATTTTTTGTCAAAGCAGAGAAACTCTCTCAACAGCAGTGCAACAAGTACACAAATTTTGAAGGAATCTGGATTTTATTTGTTCATGATGATATATGAGAATAAATGAGATGTCGTTTCCAGCGCAGTTTTACCAGTAATTGATGGAGGACACGAAACATAGGTGCACCCAGCTCATTCCCTTTTCTTACTAGCCCAGAAACGATTGAATTCCTGCAAATCCAAGCTCGTTCATGATGCCCATAACCATTGACAGTCTAATTCTCTTATACCACTGCAATGGACGGACAGAATAAAGCGAGATAAATTTCCGCTTGATATAACATAAGAAAATGCATCCTATAGATGAAGATTGCTGTGAAGATCGCGACAATTAACACACCATTTCTTTTTTCGAGTATAAACGACCACAAATCATAAGGTCCAAGAGTGTTCAATAACATACTTGAGAAGTTAATTTGCTGTAGATTTTAAAATATTTCGAAAACATCAATCAAGAAACGTAGAAACAATGCTAAGTATCACAAATAAATTTCCTCATATCTCTCATCAGGGGTTTCTTTTCCACTTATCGATCGATTGAAAGCAAACAGTTCTCTGAGGAACAATGTTCCGACGAGTACAGAAGCTTTTCCTTCAAAACATATGACAGGTTCGACATGTTTTCGATCAAAATTTTTGATTACATCGAAAGGTTTTTTTTGATAGATTACTGCTATGATTTGAACTAAGGAACATCCACATCAAATGCGATGTGTTTTCGACGCTGTAACAGAAATTCCTAAAAATAACCGTCCGAGCGGAGAGACCGGCTTGGGTGAAGCTTCATTGCAGCGTTGTTGTCGGCGCCGTAGCATATGTCGCGCGTCTGTACCCTCTTGCCTCATGCTTTTTGCCTCCCCTTCTCCAACTCTCTGCCGTCTACACTGTCAGAGATGCGCACCAAAGGCAGGCGATATACGACGCACATTACGCAACATAAAGCGATAGTTTTCGCCAACTTCAGCTCTGTGGTCTGCCATGTCAGCCGCGGCATTTTGTTCTCTGAACACCCCTAATTCGGAAGGTTCGGTTTGGAGTCTTCGCATCGGCAGATGAAGATGTTTTATCTGCGGTGTGAAGGTTCCTAATCGCACCCTACCGCTGCCGGACCCCGCCTAAAAATCACAATCAAATTCACGTCGTTCTGAATGGCTCTCTCTCTGAAGACCTGACTTAAGTGTATGATATTTTGAAACAACTGGAGATAGTAATTTTTGTCTGCTCGAGTTCACATTATTTAACGTTTATATATTAGTCGACTAGATCCAATGAAGTAAAACGACTTTTTAAGAAAACAAGCATAAAGTAGGAATTCTTGGAAATTACGCTATCGCGATTACTTATTATTCAATGTAAAAGCTGTGCCACTGAAATAACTACGTGTGTCGTGGAACGCATAACTTTTCTTCTTGTCACAGCTCTATTAATGAAATCTTTACAAAAAGTAAACATAATTTTGATTTTGTGAGATTTGGGCTATCGAATAATTATTAGCTTTCTAAGAAAAGAATTTTGTCAAGCGAATTAGAAACGCAGTAATGATAATTGAGGGCGACGAGTGTGAAGCAATGCCATTTTGAATACTGCATCGTTATAAAAAGAGCGGTTTTAACAAGCAAGCCAAGTACAGCAGTTTCACGAGATTTAGGCTTTTGAATACTTGCTAACACTCTCACGAAAATCTTGTTCAGCGGAAGGAGTCATTTCTTCTTTTCCTGCCTCCACATCATAACACTGCGAAAAGAGCAGTTAAAGCAGTAAAGCATTAGAGATTATATGTGATTTTCATTGCTCGGAGATGCCTAGATAGCCCTGGATATTGTTGGAGAGGAGTTGAAAGAATATCTGCTTAAGATTACTAGTAAACATCCGCCTAACTTCGTCACTCACCGGCCAAATAGCGGCGATATCGCTTGGAATCTCCAATTGTCGAAGAAAATATGAATAGCTATCATCATCTTTACTGGTTTTTTCGTGGCTATCTGGAAAGTATTTAAGCCTTCAATCTATCATAGCTGGAGTTTCAGCCCCGGAAAAGGTAGCGTTTTCCGAAGAAGACGGAGAAAAAAAAGTTTCTCACCCTCTTTTCACTTTGGCTTCTCCATCAACTCCTTCTCTACCGTTTCGATAGCAACGATGTCGCTTAGAAATATCAATTCTCAAAGTCAATAATAGTCATCTAGGAAGATTGAGTAGTACACAAAAAGTCGACATCAGATGGGATTCAACCCGCTTTTCAATCTCACCAACTGTATTTAATGCCAGTATTTGCCTACCGGAGCAAACCCATCAAGGATTGGTTGCCTCTGTAGCTGCGATAGTTCATGTCGAAGAACGAATGGTCGCAAAGCAGTCGCCTTGGTAGTGTAGTGGCAGCACGGACCTTGGTAAGTGTGAGACGCTGGTTCAACTCTTGCCTGAGGTCGACCTTTTTGTGTACCACTCAATCTTCGTAGATGAAGATTTTTACTGGATTATTGTGACTTCCAAGTGTTATCGAAGATTTTATCGTGGAAAACCTAGTGTTTTTTAAGACGTATATCAAGAAAAAAAAAGTTTTTTTTTCAATATTTTCTACTTGGCGATTAGCCTTTTTTTGGCCAAAAAGATTTGTTCGGCTTACGTTCCGACGTCGTCGTCGTCGTCTCCGGAGCCAGTGATTGGAGTCGACTTGAATCAGTCGACTCTGGAAGGGATAAAGAAGCCGAGACGTTAGCCGTATATATTTTATTTCCTATAAAATTCATGCTGATGCTTTAACCAAGAATAAAGCATATATAACTGTTCTGCACAATAAAAACTTTGAATGTGAAACGTGACTTTCTTTTCGCTCTTGCACAGTTCTGTGATGTCCCTAAGCGATTTCGAGTATCTGTGATAACCTTCAAGAAAACCAATTAAAGCATCGAAATTGTCGAGATTTGAGCTTTTGTAAAATTAACAAGTGTTTAGGCAATCCGTGTGCCTCAGCTGGTACACGTCGCCCCTTAGGGGGTTAATCAGCATTCTCTGAGAATTGGTGGTGTTCATCCAGAAGATGATCGATGCTTTTTAAGGGTTGGCGATAGGGGTGGGTGTGATGGGGGTTGAATGAATGGTTGAGTAACAGTTTCACGATGACTGACTGCGCCCTCTTTGGCGCAATAGTAATAGGTGGTCTGTGCCGTCGCCGTCTGGCCGTCCATGAAGTCGGCCGACCGACCGACCGACCGACCGCTTCCTCCCTCTCCTACCCCCAACTAAGTGATCAACTTTCGTTCGCACTTATGGACCTCTTCGGCGAGAGAGGAAAGACAGAGAGAGAGAGGTGGGGGGGGGGGAGCGGGAGGAAGAGAGAGTAATGACACTGATTTCTGAATCATTTCATTCCTCCGTTCCAATAGTCATTCTTCATCATAGCAACACCCTACTATCTGATATAGAACACCATATATTTTATAGGGGCTAAGTGAAAACTACGCGAGTTACTCTTTTGTGTGCTTTACAGGAGATACGGGAGGAAATTAATCAGTAGTTAGTGCATATTCACTTACAAAATGGTGTGCTCCATTGCCTCCTTTTTATTCATACAATTGATGCCAGATCAAAAAACGTCCACATCCGTTTTACTATTCAAAGATATTTTAGCAGAAAACGACGTTCTTCGCGGCTTTTCCTCTAGTTTTCTTGGTATTGTGCTCCATAAGCGTTAGATCGAATTGCAAATCGTTTCAGTAATCGCCTTTCGAAGTAAATGTCGGTAATAAGCCAATTGAAAATAGTTATTTGTTGTTTAGAAAGCCGGTCGTCGGTGAAAAGCGTTGGCTATGTCGTTTTTTCGGCAAGATGAAAAACCTCTTTCGGACCTCGACCGTCGAGGAATCAAGACGTTCACTTCCGTCTATAATCGAGGTAATCACCATTGATAGTCACAGGACTTCTCTTTCTCGTTGGTTTCTGTAATCCTTTTGCTTCTGTAACTGTATTCGATTCTTTCAAGGTGAACGTCAATCCAAAAGATTTTTGGGAGATCGTCGGCGAGTTAGGTGATGGTGCTTTTGCTAAGGTTGAAAAGGCAGTTTCTAAGACAGATCGAACTTTATTTGCTGCTGCTAAGGTAACTATTACTTAAGTATCGTTGTTGTGCAGACGATTACGTTGTTAGTCTCCTTTCAGAGATGTTTTTGTTTAGGCAATAGAGGTTCAGGAAGGCGAGCAGCTTGAGGATTTCCTGGTAGAGATCGATATTCTGACTTCTTGTAAGCACAGAAACATCGTCAAGCTTTATGCTTGTTTTTTCTTCGAAAATAAACTGCACGTGAGTCCTATTTTACGTCTGTTTTCTTCTTAGTTCCAAAGGTCGCCTGCGCCACACTGGTTAGAAGTGCTCTGCGACGCATAGGTAGCCGATGTTTCGATCCCGTCCCACGGCTCGACAAGTCTTCCATCCTTTTGGGGTCAGCGAATCGGTACCAGCCTTCCTTAAGAGGATAGCAACACTAACTTGACACATCGGCAGGCTATGGCGAGTCATTGTAAAGGACAGATATGCATTTAAGTTCCTTCAAATGATGTTAGACGAAGGCGATTATATGGCTTAATACTCGCTCGTGGATTGATCAACACATAGTGCTTCATCCTTTTATAGTCCAGCTTCTGTTTTGTTCGGGTATGGCGTAATTTTTTCTTATCAAGCTGTAGAGGGATTTATGAGCAAACGTTTCATATGCTTCTTTGGCAAAAAAAATATGAAACTCTCGGCGTTGATCAGTCCCTGAGAGATTTCCCATGCATTCGTCTTCGTCAAACATTGTTTGAGGTGATTGCTTGCACGTCTGGTCTTTACAATGACTCGCGGTGGCCTACCGATGTATTAGGCCAATTTTGTTATCCTCCCAGTCAAGCCTAATATCAATTTGATGACCCAGATCTATATGTTGACCTATCATGTTGTTACAGATAGGAAAATAACAACAAAAAATACAATTGAATTAATACAATAATACATTCAATGCATTGCCACGCTGTAGGTTAGAGACGTAGAGGATTTGGAGCAGACCGTCCAGCCTTACCACGCCGACGGTTAGAGATTTGGAGGAGGTTCACGGTACTGAAAGGTTTGAAAAGCAACTAAACTGCTCCGAAGAAGGCAAAAACTCGCCGAAATGTCAGCCATTGTACTATTTTTGTTCTTCATTACTACTGTATTCAATAAACCTTTTATTAACAACCTCAGAATTGTTTATCAGAGAAAAAACTGGGAAACCGGAACCTCATATAGAAGATAAAGCCGCGTTTTACCCTTTACAGAACAGAATGGCAGGGCAACGACCTCGTTAGGGGTATAGCGAAGACCAGACGTCCCTCTTGAGGTTTAACGTGGATTCAACTCCCACCTGTGGTTCCGAAATCAGCATCATAAAACCGTCATAGAAGCACTAAAATGAAGAGCTTTATCTAATAGAAGTGCCTCTTCTGTGAGTTTGTCAAGTTCTTTGACACTCTGGGTTCTTGAAACATTGTAGGCAGTTCTAGAAGGACAAAAGTCGTCAATGTGTTAAGGATATTGACGCAGTGATAGAGGAAAATTTTGTTCTTTTCACTTTGTTAACTCGCCGTCCTCGTATATTTGTTTTAGGTCTCACCTATGAGAGGTCTATTCAAAGTGCAAAAGTCTGCCCCACCAACACTTGACAATCCGGCATGCTGGTCTCTCTTCTTCTCCGACTTCCTAGCACAGTGTCTGGTGAAGAACCCAGCCGAACGAGAAACAGCCAAGCAAATATTATCGGTGAGATAGCGAATACTCTACACGTTGACTCAGTATGACGTAGTTGTGCTTCATCGGGTTTTTTTATAGCATCCATTCATTGCAAACGCTACGGATCGTCGTCTATTCTTGCCAGAAGTCAATGCTGACAGTTTAGAAGAGGAGGTAATTGAAGATGATCGGGCTAGTTGAGACGAAAGTTTCGCTGATTCGGAAGATGAGGGTATACAATTTTGCATATAAATACATTTTTCACCTCTTTTGGAGATAGAACCTTTCCCACCTTTTCAGACTTCCAGTTGTCACTCGACAGACTAAATATCATTATTTTCAAATGTGCTTGTGTGTGATATAGTAGCTAAAAATGTGCCTTGTAGCAAGTTTTTTTCTTTATCTAGTTGGAAATTGTTTTCCCGTTTTGTAGAGTATTATTTCATTTTCATTTTCTACTGTCTCCCTCCCCGGTATTCTGCGGCACTCAGCAACGAAAGCCGTATGGACCACCTGAGGCAGGCTTCGAAATTGCAAAGGGACGTCCGCAAACAGTGTTCTACGACGTTTATGAAGAAAATTAAAAAACCGAGTTGAATGCTAAAACGTTGGGGTCCGCATAGCACGAAAAATGCGATTCAATCAAATGAAGTGATGAAGTGACTCCCAATTTAAACCCAGCTACCAATCTGAATAGTCTAAGCCTTGGAGTGCGAAACGTAGACTTGTTTTCGCTCTTCCAGCGCTCTTGAAGACTTTTTTCAAAACCTAAGCCGACACAGTATTGAAATAACCGAGATTTAAGCTATCAAATTGCAACTGGAGGTCTGAAAAAAGAGCAAAAGGCCTAATCTGCAAAGAGTTGAGAAGTAATGAGGCAGATTTCACTAGGAAAATCAGCTTGTTACAGCGTCAGTGGATGCCATATGGCGGAATCGAACTCTTGTTCCACTACCTCCAATTGAGGAGACGACAGTACAGACAACTAGTGATATTCCACCGAAGAAAAGGGCCGCACCACCTCCATCGATTATCGTCGAGGTAACTGTTATTATTACTATCCTTTTGGTTTTTGGTCGATCCTTATGTGACCGTTGACCCACGTCTCTGTGAGGGTTAAGTCTCGTGACCTGTTCTAGCATTGGTTGACTTCTGAATAGCTGAGTTCGAAGTATTAAGTTGTTCAGAAGTTGATGCTGGATTTCAACCTGTATTTTCCAAGAGGTGTATCTCAACTAATATTAGTTGAAGTAAATATTATTTGGACTTCAACTTTTCTCAAGTTTATATACAGCAGTTGCTCAGAACTGTGGAGCTCAGGAGGTAAGGGGAGAGGGAACAGCGTTCTGAAACAAGGCAGTTTCCGCTCGGCTTAGAGTACCGTATTCGGAGAAATGAAGCATCACCAAAACATAGATTAGAGAATTAGAATTAAAAACCGTGCATCTGTCACCCAGCAACCTAATAAGAAATGATGGATTTTGGTGATGTAACTAAATCGTCGTCGAAGTGAGGATTGCCTAGATTAACTCTTTATGGGCCACCCTTGACAGGCAGGCGGCGTCGCGCCGTCGCGCGGCAGTCGAAAGCGGGCAACATGTCTGTGCATGCATATCTGACTGTCTGCCTGCCTTTTCACGAGACGCGACGCCTCTGTTCTAGTAGCTGGGTGAGATTTGACGTCG